TAACAATTAGTTTGTAAATCAGTGTTACAAAACAAAACAAAACACGTTTCGTGTTAAGTTAACACGAAACGTTAAACACGTGTTAAGTTAACAGTTAAATTGAAGTTCCTTTTTCCCTGTACAGTGTTAATTCCTAAATATGTATCTAAATTGAATTTGAGTACACAAAATGGTCGATCCAAAAATACTACATAGAGAATAAAAGAGTATGAGTTTTGATAACCGCTAATGAACAATTCATAACTATTGAACCAGAAAAAATGCGTACTATTTGTTTTACAGATAGAAACAAAATTTTTCATTCTTATTTAGGCAACAAAGCTACGAAAAACACAAATTTATGTGAAATATTCTTTTTATCTTCACTAATTCACCATGCATTTCTCAAATTTTTAGGGTTGAAAATGCACCGCCTTGTATACTATATTATATGGAAATGTGCTCCAACGGCTTTTAAGATGTTTGCAGAATAAGTAGCAAGTAGTAATAAGTAAGTGTGATTTTAGAAACTTATTATAATCGTAAATTATCTAAATACTGATTGCGTTTAGTTCTAATCGGCAATCACTATTTAATCCGCAATATGTTCTTTATTTTTTAATTGCTTTATTTATACTTAACAAGGTAGCAACAGAAACATATTAATCATTCGTTTTAAATAAAAGCATTTCAAGAATACATCTATAAAAAGGAGTAAAGAACAAACAACTTTATTAACAAAACTAGTGAGGTTTTCGGGTTTTTAGACCGTCGTAAAATGTTTTGCTTCGCAAGCAAACTTTATTATCGTCAATTATAAGTAATTTATAATAACGACCTCAAGCAGTAAAGAATAGAGATATGGCAAGTATTTCTTGCGGAATTGTTTGTTCCATAAATAATACATCAGAAATCAAATTAAGTACTCGCAAAAATAAGCTTGAGCCCGACGTGTCCCATAAAATGTAATGATGATTGGATATATTGATGGTGTAATGAAAGTTTTCATTTAACTTTCTTAAAACAATATTACAAATCTAAATAGCATAAAGAAATCTTGCAATAATGTTAAAGAAAAAACAACTGACAAGTCTGCAAATTTAATAACCATCAACCAATACAAAATGTGGTTGTATTTCAAACAGAAATAGTTAATAAGAATTGGTTCCTTATCCATACCTTTACGAGTTACGAGTCATTGCAACTCTTGCGCGGGTAATCTTACCGAAAAATACCGACAAATGCACCAGAAAAAAATTGTATAAATACCGACATTAAAAAAAGTTGTAAAACATCAAACAATCGACGCACACTTCGTTATTTGATCACCCTGAATATATAAGACGTATTTCTAGACTTACCTTAAATCTGCCCAGTCTCAGTTCTCCCAACCGCTTTTCTCCTTGAAGTTATGTGCTTCTTACTGAAAATAATTTGTGAAATTTTACTACCAATAGAAAGATAATAAGATCATTTTTTAGCCAGAACTAAATCGCTGCTTCTTGTACTTTTTACCTCAGATAGATGGTGGAGACACACCTCTGGGGTCCAACACTAATTGTCTTAAACACACTTCACTACAACGCACATTTGATAAGGATGACCACAATATTCAGACAAAATACATATAAAGTTTTTAAACACAAAGAAAAGTGTCCCTATAGTTCGCATTTATCGCCGAAATCAATAAATTCGATTTGAAATAGTTTTGTTTCCATTTGTTTATTTTTATGTAAACATTCCGCTCATCAAAACCTGTTTATAAGCGTGCGGGTATGCAGGTTAATTCATATCCAACTTAAATAAAAATGTTGAGGATAGAAAAATCATGTGACTTTAGGGTGGAAATATTCAGCAGCGATTAGGTTTACACCACAAATAGTTACAAATTATAGCGGTATTTAATTTTTCAACGATTTGATAAACAAACTAGGTATATAAATCGTTACAAAACGCTGAGATGACACGAAATGTTTAATCTGTCTATACAGGAGAGTTTCATGAAATTGGAGTTGACAAGAAACACCAAGAAAGGTGTTTTGTTGGTTATTTAAAACAGGATCAGTAAACGCAAACTACGAGCTTCATTAATGCTATGTATTTCGAAAAAAAAACATTTTCAGCAGTCTTCTGATTGCTTTTAGGACATGATGTTACGTGTTAATTTCATCAGCCAGTTATCAATCTAAAATATCAAATTTTACAGGGTGTCCCGTAAGCACATGATGAAAAGAATACTGCGATATTCTTTGCATTAAAAGAAGACGATCGGAACTAATTTTTATTAACAAAAACTGTCTGGTTCCTCTGCTATTGATGGTTTAAGTTGTTCAAAAAATTATCTTTTTCGAAATATCAGGAAAATCGTACAATGTATGTTAGTGAAACTCGGTGTGTATTTGTTCTTTTGTAAGACTCATATTTTGATGAAACAATCGAGTTCATTCGTTTTGGACAAGTGGAGAATTCTTGAGGTCGTGATACAAAAACTGCCAGAACTTTTTATTTGGTGGATGAAATCAAACTAATTTTTTTTCTTGATGCACTAATTATTTGATCACAATTTTGTGCTCTTTGTAAAATCTTGTAGCATTCATAGTTTTTGCGAAAAAAAATGTTTCTGTTTTCTTGCCACTTAACAATGTTAGATATTAACTGCAAATATCGTGATACGAGGCATAAAATAATTGTAAATCAATCTCACAAATTCGTTTTAAATTGCCTTTTCTAATGAAGAAGTGACCGACATGGTCAAAGTATTACGGTTTTGCGAAGACAACGCGTTTACGCGGTGCATATTTGCAGTTAATGTCTAGCATTGCTAAGTGGCTGCAAAACAGACATATTTTTTTGCGCAAACGTTGACCATCAATAGCAGAGGAGCCATCATTTTTTTGTTAATAAAAGTTACGTCAGATCGTCTTATTTTGATTAAAAAAATATCGCAGTACCTTTTGATCATGTGCTTATGGGACACCCTTATAGAATGCGTTTTGTCTGCTCTGATTCCATTTAAAAAATGGACCTCGTTTTGAAACTTCCATTCGACGTAATTTAAATCCTAATATTAATAATCTAAATGATTTTATTTAATTTGTTGATAATTCCTATCCAAATTCTAGCACAATAAGCAACATTTCTGAAAAAATCGATTTATAATACTCATTCGCACATTTTAAGAATTATTTATTTCAAAATCAACATGAATATTGACTATGCTATAAAAATGTTTGAATTCCGATTATTCGAATTCTGCATTATTAGAATAATACTGGAAATGAGACATAAATGAAGATAAAAGTATCTTCTTTTTTAAAAGCAAGGCAAATTAAACGTTCGCAATAATTACAATTAACCCGACTAAATATCTGCACCAATTTAATGAAACTGAATTTAAAACTGCTTTTGTAGCTTGCTTTTCGTAACAGTTATAGTAAATAGTATAATAATAATAAAATTCAAATAATATTTTTCATTTATTTATAAATTGACTCAATTGGTATAAAGTACAAATTATTATAGAAAGAAAGAATTTTTAAAATCTTTGTGACCCCGATATTAAGCTCGCCTTCGATCGATACTTTCTCACTAAAATCCTGCAAAAGTGTTTTTTAGAAACAATACTGGATGCATATAACTATACACTGTAAGAAAACCCCGATTTGTGCACCATTGTTATTTACACTGTTTCATAAGGTTAAACATTATGCAGTTAGGAAATTATGGCAGTATGGCCTTCCTTGATCGATACAAAACCATACGGTTTGACGAGTTTTCACATTCAGATTCAGATTTAAAAATGTTCACATTTTCTATGCAATTTTCAAAGCCCATAAGACCCATAAGTGGCCCATTACATGTTTTTTTTTTAAGTTTCATAGCTCCAAAATGTGCAACTGAAAAATTCATAGTATGTATTATTTACTATATTTGCTGTTACCAAATTACTATTTTCAAGCCACGTCAACTTGAGCGGCTTTTATATAAACTAACGTATTTTATCTATTTATAATCAATAGCATACATTACAAAGTAATAACCATCCAAATCAGGGGAAATAGTATCAAAAATATCATCAATATTGAGTAAAACTTGAAAATCGAGAACAGGAGTACATTGGGTGAATAATAAATAATGGTTTATGTTAACAAATCAAAAGGTAATAAAATACAAAAATCTAAGAAATTAAATCACTTAGTAAGGACTGTAAGGAGAAAGAAGATGCTATCTCATTATCTAAAATAGTGTTATCATTGATAAAAAAAACCAACACTTCAACTGCTAAAATTTTGTACAAGCGAAATAGAAAAAGACAACCGCTTATATATAAAAAAACCCATTACGTGATACAGATTACACGTTGCGTTATTTAATGGATTGCAAGTCTTTGGGTGATTAAAAACAACCGAATGAATAATTAAATCACAACCGTATCAACCATGGGAGTGATCTTGTATGGCTCAATATTCAGCCCTCCTTGTAGGGCTGTTCTTATTACAGCTGAAGCATTAGGAGTGCCAATACAAATTAAGGATGTAAATATTGGCGAAAAAGAACATTTGTCCCCGGAATTTCTTAAGGTAAATATTTGCATTTAAAAGTATTTTTAATAACCTTGTTATACAACAAGTTAATAGATAAAATGTTTAAAGCTGGGCTTAAAACTTATAAGGCACATCAGCCATTGTTTTATTAAATAAAAGGTTTATTTAAATAAAGGATTTTAAAAACCTGGCAATATTTTAGTGATCTTCTGAAGTTGCCTGCTTATTGGGCACAAATGTTTGATTTATTTTTTCCATTTGAACTCAGTGCCATACCATTTGGTCAATCAACTAACAAACCAAACATGTTTGTGTAACATTCTCATTGTATGAAAAAAAATATTTCAGATCAATCCTCAACACACAGTACCGACTCTAGATGACAACGGAACCATCGTGATTGATAGCCATGCAATACTACCATTCTTGGTATCAAAATATGCAAAAGATGATTGTTTTTATCCGAAAGATTTAGGAAAACGAGCGTTAATTGAAGCGCGTCTTCATTTCGATAGCGGCTCAGCATTCAGCGTACTTAAAGCCGTCTATGTAGGTCTGACCAGATGAAAACTGTACCTAAATTTAGTGATTGTGTTTTTAGAGAAGTCATTTGTACGAAGGACAACTAGAATACCTCACGGAATTGCAAACTCAAAAGATTTTAGAGGTATACGCTCTGCTAAACACGTTCTTGGAAAGAACAGAATGGATTGCCGGAGATCATCTAACCATAGCTGATATCTCATTGGTTACCACAGTGAATAGCTTGGAAGCTATGTTGGCCATAGACGCAAGAAAATTTCCAAAGATCGTAAAATGGTCAGAAAAGGCCAACGAACTACCTTTCTTTAGTATCAACAAAATTGGAAGGAAACAATATCTAGATAAATGGAAAGTAGTGAGCAAACATTAGAACAATGGAAACCCAATTTGTATATGGCATAATAAAAATATATTACGGACTTGCGTTTTTGACTATTACTTTTACTCCTTTGAGACTGATCTGGAAATGGTTTATTTCCCGTTTTTAATTCCGGAATATGTGTTTCTTTTGTTAAGCAATTTGATAGCATAACTTTGTCGATTCAAAAGCTTTTAACCCAAATAGAATTTTCTGTTGGACTGTTTGTATGCATAAAGTTCAATGTCGAATCCAAATGGAAAATCAACCTGAGCAAACGCAATAGAATTATGTCTCTTAATCAATACGAAAACGAATCGAAATGTTTCATAAATTCCAAAGTTTTTAAGCTCCCAGTGAATGTCAACTAGCTTCTCATTGGGTGCTGACATCAAAGCTTCAATCAAACTCAGATCAGGTAATTGTTGCGGATTTTAAACTTTTAACGTATTTTCTTCTACTGGGATGGATTTGATTATGTTCTGCTTTAAACATTAAAAATGTTCTATAAATATATACACGGTTCAATTAGAAAGCACTTCCAAGATAGTTTGCGTAGAGAAGCGCAAGTCAAGTTCGACCAGATATTGCTCCTTGATTTTATAAAATTGATAATTTAATTTACAATATATGAAAAATAATATTTCTACAGAAATCAACCAGCAGTCTCAACAATGGCTCCAAAATTATATTATATGGCTGCAAGTCCGCCATGTAGAGCTGTACTAATGGTAGCAAAAGCTATTGGGCTTGAATTGGAATTAGAAGCTGTTGAGTTTGAGCAGTTAAGAACAGAGGAAATACTAGAGGTATGCTTAAAATATATAATTTCCTTTGTGGAGACGCAAATGCAGAGCAAAAATGAATGAATATTTCCAGTGGAAGAGAATGTAATTTAAACCATTTGAATTAAGAAGAAACACCACAATAATTAAATCAACGTTTCATTAATTTTCAGGATGCGTAAAAAATGTGCAAACAAGTCATTTTATAAAAGAAGCCTTTTTCTGTAGGAAATAAAGATTATTTATATATATATATAAAAGAATTATGTTCATGCTCTGGCATGCGAAACACCAGCAGGCAAGTCAAATACGGGTCACGCGTAATTCGATTTTATTGGAAGTAGCGGGTTCTTGCCCCCGAGTCATTTAATCCGGATTGTTCATTCTTTTGGTAATTCAAGCATGTTGCATGTCCAACCATATTGACCACTACAAATCTTAATTAAACAACCAATAAAAAGGAATAATTTGCAGAAATTATATTCTTATCTTCGAAATTGACTTTCCTTCTCTGCTTACAAACATACTGGTTTTTTCCTATTTTCTTTCAAGATATCATCACATAAAGAAGCAATTGTTACACAAGCTTTAATTAAAATAAAAATATTTTAATCAGCAAACTGTGGACGTTTGCCTTAAATACATTTTTAAAACATAATATCACCATGTAAGATTTAGCAATTTTATATTACTTCTATGTGATAATGATCCTCGCACTGATAAAATAATGCTGTATCCATTGTTATTTTCTTTATTTAAATATCTTTACTGATATGCCATCATTATTTATATTTATATTGATCTGTTTTATATATTTAAATATCATGTTTCAAAGGAGCAAATAAAAAAGCTGAACCAAAAAAACAATGAAATAAACTCCCTTAAATGTTAAATAACATTCTATTGATATATGAAACAGAGTTATTATTAATATTGCAGTAGCAAAAATAAGAAAAGATTTTTTAAACATATTTTTGACAATTTTTTTTTTAAACAAAAACGCATTTTCTGACCAATGGGTAAAATACACCGAACACCGTAACTAAAAAACAGTGGCAGTAAGAATAATTTCTTCCATTAAAGAAAAAAATTATATTGTTTTATTATCTGACACTGTGTGTAACAAATTGATACAAGCTTTGCAACTAAAATACTGCAACTTTTTTCAAATAGATGACTATGTACAAAAAAGTCTGATAGTGATTAAACAACGAGACCTACATAATAAAGCAATTAATGTGGAATTTGCCTTTCAGTTGACTCAAAATCCAGAAAATTTAATAGTTTAAAGACGACATAAATCCAATAGTTTTTCCAGCGTTTTACCTTACTTTACTAAAAGTACAGTATATTTAAAACACGAATATTAACTGTTAACATTTCAGTTAAATCCTCAACATACTGTCCCCATATTAGTGGACGCAGATGAAGATTTCACCATATGGGACAGTCATGCAATAGCAATTTATTTAGTTGGACAATACGGGAATGATGACTCTCTTTACCCTAAGAACGACGTCAAACAAGTGGCCGTCATAAACCAGAGAATGCAGTTCGACAATATTTTATTCGATAAATGCAAAGCGGCTTTTGTAAGTTACGCATTTGGTAAAAAAACTGAAACTAGCATTTTTTTGCGTGTTTTAGCATCCAATAATGATGGGGATTGAAGATGTAGTGTCAGAAGAAGCAAGTGACTGCATGTTGGAATCTTTGGGTCTCTTGGAAATTTTCCTAAAGGATAAACCTTGGATAGCGGGAGATGATCTCACTATAGCCGATTTAACCATACTGGCATTGGTTGCGACAGTGGAGGAAGTTGTTTTTCCAATTGACCCGGAACGATTTCCTAAACTATCGGAATGGTTCAACAAAGCAAAAGAATTGCCATATTTCGAGGAATGCAACAGGGAGGGATTGGATAAAATGGGGCAACTGGTTCGACACGAAGTGCCTTTAATTTAAAAGCTTTAGGATAGAATATACCTCACGTTGTTCGTTTTATAAATTACGGATCAAGCTAAAATGTTATGATGCAAGATAATACAAGGCACATTTAATTTTACTTACCTTCTAAGGGTATTTTTAGAAAGTATTATCTGACTAGATAGATAGAAAAAGCACTTTGCAATGTCAATAATAGAATAGTTTAATTTAATGCAAAATAAGGTAAATGTCTAAGCAGAAAAAAAAACATTCCAATTACCTTAAAATATATTGTCTTAAATCATCAATAAAACCCGACACACTATGCGGAATTTTTAACTTTCTGCTTTTTTAAAGCTCTCTCCTTCGCCTTCTCATATAATGGCATTAGCTTACCTTCCCGAGCCAATATCTTCATAATTTCTACAATCAGAGGTAAATAATTGTGTTTCCGTCTGATATTTTCTATTTTGTATTGGTTTCTTTTCTGTTCTTCTTCTTCAATTAGCAAATTGTAGTGTCTTAACATGTTAATGGTAGAAGCATCTGTGACACCAGCATCAATTTTCTTTTGAATTTCTTCAATGCGCCTCTCATAAAGAAGCTTCCGGTCGGTAACTATAGCCATAAGATTGAAGTGAATTTCTCCTTCACTGTATCTAAACACAATAAAACCACCAAATAGATCTAGCCTTTTGGATGATAAAAATAAAATATTACCTTTTCATTCTTTGTTCAATAATAGGTTTAACAACAGATGTCCATTCTGTGTCAGCTGGGATAACTCCCAAATCAATAGGTCCCGATTTTAAGCCATCCAATTCATACAGTCTTCCATCGATAGGAACATAACTGATAAAATGATAAGCATCTTCTTGCTTTTTGCTGCTATTTGGATCAAACTCAAATATTTGCTGTCTGGCAAATGAGTTGTGTACAGAACTTATTACTTGAGAGTTACTAATTGTAAGTCCCTTCATATTGGCATCAAATCCTTGGCAAAATTCTTTCAGCTCCGTTAAAGTAGGGCCGATTTTTACGTCCGGATGGCGGCAATTTAATAAAATGCTTAAAATGGCTTGGGTGGCACAGGCATTTTCGATAACCTGCTTAGCAAAAAATATCTTATCTAGTCTGCTGTCTTGAACAATAGAACCGCTCGGATTGGAAGAGTCTTTTGTCCATTTGAATAAAAAGATCAGTCCATGTACTGGCCTGAAAATAATTTCAATTTTTGTTTAATTATAATCAAATATGTAAGACTTGGTTGGTAAAAGTGGAATTGATTGAGATATTAACAATACTCTGATAAAGTTGCCATTTTCTATTTCAACAAATGGCAAAATTGAGCAATTTCCCCAAATTTTGTTAATTATATTGTTTCGTGTTGTATTATGTTATGTCTTGTATTGTTTTTTTGTCCATGTTTTTATGTGTAATGAATCAGATTGTAATTTAATTGAATACATTAGAGTTTCCTAATAGTAAACCCGGTTGTAGTATATTTCCGCTTACAGCAGACCCAAATTGAAATTACTTGTCCCTTATTATCCCCATAAAATTAATACAATTATTAATTGTCGGATTTAATAAATATGTTTACAAAAAGTTCCGCATAAAGTGCCCCAAATTTATAAAGCAAAACGATAAAAAATTATCCCATTCTTCTTCATTACAACGCCAGGCCTCATTCAACAAACGCTTCGAGCGAGAAATCAAACACATTATGATGGAAAATGTTGGAATATTCTCCATACAGTTCAGGGTTTCACCCAATGATTTTAGTCTTTTTGGACACCTGTAAGAAGCACTTAAGGGACAGCGATTCCTCGATTCTGAGGAAAAACATTAATTGCGAGATCAATGCGAGAGACTATATAGAAACAGTTTTTTTGTAATTATTGTTAAATAAATCCGCAATTAAAAAATAAGTCAGTCTCGTTTATAGAATACACCCGGGTTTTGAGTAAGGCAAAAAACTAAGCGTTTTTTTTATTTACGATCTAATACAACAAGCTATTTTACGGAAAATTCTTGAAAGGCCATGCCAAATATAGTTTAGACGAGAACTACTGAACGTTCAAAGATTTTCCCTCACTCTTTACGATGTAAACAAATGCTATTTAAAATAATGCAGTTAAGTTGCATATTCACTTGTAAATTAAATTAGAGGGGCACCATTCTTGAACTGCTTTGAATGATTACATGGTAAACGAATGCTACCAAACAGAGAGCTATAAAACAAGTCTCATAGCTTTAAGCTCCAATAAGTAATAACATTATAGGTTATGCGTGTTTTATCATTGTTTCTGATTTTAAAATTTTTAATTTAATTTTCATGTGAATGGTTGTTTCAACAGCCTTGACGAAATCTCAACATTATTGTAGAGTAATACTGAATTTTCTATTCATTAAAGTCACATGGTGGATATTTGAATACAACTGAAGACACTTACATTAACGTTTCGAATGTCTGATTGTCCAAAGTCCACAGTTCCTCAACTTGCACTCCTTTGCAACCTGGAAATCAAATAAAACAAGAAGGATTTATTAGGATTAAACTGACCTGTGCCTGAGCCTTAACTTACCAAACTCTCGAATCAATTCACTGAAAATTCCAGGATCACTTTCAATCAAACACCAATCGCCAGCTTTTTCGGCCATTATTGTACACTGACTTATGAATATATTTCAGATAAATTCACTGTAGTGTGCAGCTTCAAAGCGATAAATATAAAGCTTTAAAAAATTTTCTTGTAGAATGTTTGTTAGTTTTGATTTTCATAACCTCTAAACAATCATGAGTTGACGATTGACTCTAAAAGCACATTACTCATTAATGAATGAAGTTTTGACACTCTGCATGAGATGACGCAATGGACGAGTAGTACTAGTGCTCGAGTATTTATCTATGATGCTCTATCGATAAATAATACCTTTATTTTATTATTACTATTAGTATATTTATCTTGTTATACTCGTTAGTTAAATTAACTATAATCATCAGCACATTTTGCTTGAAATTGCTTGTTGTCAATCATAGCAATTTAAAATATTCAAATTATTAAGTAAAATATATATATATATATATATATTCACATCAATTAGTTTTCACGGCAGAGAATAATTCTATGCCTATTCAAAATATATGCTAGATTTAATGGCAAATGTTTTGCAGATAGAAAATAATGATTTCCAAAGTACATTAAAAAATCACGAGAAAACTTGCATCCTGTGAGAACCGGAACATCCTGTACAATTAGTTTGTATATTTAGATCATAGATTTAGATATATCTCCGTCCTGAACAAAGTTTAGATTTTTAAATGTTTATATTCCATTTTGGTGGGTAATATATGTTTTTGACTTGATTCATGAAGACTGTAGATATAAAAACGAAAAAAAAAAAAATAATTTTCAGATCCGCGCTAATTAGAATTATATTTCGGAAATTACTAAAAAGCTGACAATAATGTAACCATATTGTCAAAGATCAGCTGATCAGCTGACTTAGTATAGTATATAGAAATGTTTATATAACAAGTAAAGGCGCGTTTTCAGATACAGTGTGAGCTATGCGTAGTAGTGTGCGTATTGTATAGTATATAACACAGCGTAAACCCCCACCAATGCATTTTCGCTTATATTATGATAACAAATTTTAAAATCGTTTCTTTATTCATCTTTGATTATTTATTGTTATTATACATATAGAGCAGAATAAATTACCATTTCACAACACTCGCTATTAGGAAAGTTTTTAGTGAAAGTGAATAAAGTTCAATATTCAGCGCGTCAGATTCATTTAGTTTGCTTTACTGCTATCTGAAACAATAAGCAAGGTGCAATATGTGCATTTTATTTCTACACGTAAATCCTGATCCCAAAGACAAGGAGTATAGACTCATTGTAGCTACCAATAGGGATGAATTTTATCGCAGACCTGCAAAAACTGCCTTTCAATGCCCTAAAACGGGAGTTATAGCTGGTAAGTGTCTGTGATTTTTCGTAATTAAAAATGCTAAGTAGATTATGAAAATGTATTGTTTTTGACAAAACATTCATGTGGAAAAAAATTTTTTTTTTAAATATGATGCTTTGCGTATAAAGTGCGCTCCGTATAAAGTGCGTATTTTTTTTCGAATTATTCTCTTCAATTCTATTGGATAGGTGCCTAATGATAATAAATACCTACACAGATTAAACTGCGCTGAATGCCCTAAAACGGGAGTTATAGCTAGTACGTGTCTCTGTGATTTTTCGTAATTAAAAATGGTCTGTGCAAAATCATTAAAATATATGACATTATATTTTTACCTGTAGAGCATAGTGTATCTGTAGTGCATAGTGATAATAAATATACAGATAAATTTTATTCGGATTAAAAAGTTGGAAAAAATGTATTAAAAACACATTTGATCAATTTTTCAAATGAAAAACACGATCAAATTATATTATTTGATATGGGTTGAATCATCAAAAATAAATAGAAACTTGATATTAAAACATATGATATATCGTAAAGTAGATTATATTACTAAAACGATGCTTTCAAACATTAACGATTTCAGTATACTTACAACACTAATAATACAAAAAAGCAAAATATTTGACCCAATCGAAAAATAATAAAATATCGGCAATTGCGTTTACATTATTCTATCAATATCTATAATGAATCCTAATTAACAGTCAGGATAACCGTGCCAGTTTAGAAGATAATCGAGCATTAATTAGTGAACATCACCTGACTAATGATTGTCGCAAACTCTGAAGTTCAGTAAACCTGATCTGATAATATTATTAAGGTCAAATTGATAATTTATCGCTTGGTTACACTAGCTAGTAACTGAACTTAGATCACTTAAAACGCGAGTTTTATTAATTTTGCAACAATAATTGGAATACCTAGCGCAGAAATTTGCAAGAATCTATTTCCGGAATACAGAACATACAGAACTTACAAAATATAATCTTGGGCTCAGAAATAAAATAGATTTGTTTTTAAACACATCAACATGAACAAATTTACGAAAAGAAAAAATAATTGATTTTCCACTTCATTTCAATTTTCTAATTCTATTCTACTATACCTATCTATTCATTTAATTAGCATGAAACTGCTTCATAGTAGTCCCTACCTAAAAAATAGTCAAAAGTAAAAATTCCGTGGGTTCTTAATTCTGGGGAGTCTATGAAAAAATTATTACCCAGCATAAATAATCTCATAAAAGCGCTACCAACATCACCTTTGTTTTTTTAAATGTAACACCAACATTTTCTCCTCATTGCTAAATTTGGCCTTAAATTTGCAATCATTTGATACCCCATTGTCGATCATTTTCTCCTATCGTTGAGCGATAATTTTGATTTCCTTGCATAGGGTACCTATTTTGAAAATACATTTCTCAGAAACGGTGCGAGATAGCAACCTGCTCTTTACTTTACTTCATATTGCAACATTTTTGTGTCACGAAAATGAAATTCTCTACTGATAATAAAATGCAATAACAAAAATAATTTTGGATATAATTGATCCATCTCGATGCCTCTATCAGTTCTTCCTGATTTTTTTATCCATAGAAAATGTAAAACTCTTATCGCGTTAGCTAAAAGTAATTCGGGATCATTTGTAATTTTAATCAAATTAATTCTCATTATCCAATAATTCGAATTACTTAATTCGATTCTTTCCATCGCTAGTACCTACACCTCAGATTATATCTGTGGATAATTCCAACCACTGATTACCAAAAGACAAAATTATCAAACAAAATCTACAGAAAAAAATTAGACGATTTCTTTTATAATCATTTTAGGTAGAGATATGGAACCGGGAAGAGAAGGTGGAACTTGGGTAGGTCTGGTTAAGAAAAACTACCCAGAAAATGGAAAGGCGTCCAAGTACTGTTTTAGCTGCTTAACTAATATCCCCAGCAAAGTCGATAAAGCCACTGGAAGAGGCATGCTTGTTATAGATTATTTAGAAGGAGAAAATAATTTTCCAGACTACATCAAGAAATTGAGGAACAATGGGCTGGTTTACAATGGATTTAATTTAATTGGAGTGGAACTAAGGCAAGCTTTTTACTTACAGTCAAGTGCCTTTATCTGCACGTGGAGAAAGTGCACGCATTCAAAGACATCAAATTAAATATTTGGCGATTTAACATCAATTGTAGTTATGTTATAGATATTAACAATATTTATTCATTTGGTACTCCAAGGCCAAAACATTTTTCTATAGTGGGACGTGAAATAAGCTTGATCAAATTTGTATTGTGACTTGAGAAAACTTGTCTTTGTTCATTGTTTAAATAACGTTTTTAAACACCCAAATATTAAATTAAACATTGAAATTCCTTTGTTATATAAAGTATTAAATATGCGGATGTTTTCATTTTAAAATTAGATTTTAACTTATAAAAATTTATAAAAAAATACCGCAAGGACTTTGCTCAATTCGCATATAAAATGGTTTTGATTTGATGTAACTATAACGCGAATACTTACACAAAACGTCGCTTTTTGAAATAAGATTTATAGCCTCTAAAATTCTCAAACCTTTAAATTAGTTATCATACATACATGTTTGATGATTATAATTTTTCACTTAAATTTTAATTGTGTTAATATTTTTTTTTAGCAAAGACCGCGCCCCCAAAGTATACCATACTAGCAACATGCCGCAAATAGATTCGGAATATACGGGAAAACACACAATAGGTTTTGGAAACACTAGCATTTCCAGTCCATACATAAAAGTTCTAAATGGCAGGAATAAGTTTCTGGAGATAATTGAACGAGATTTAGATCATGATCAACTTAAAGAAGAGCTTGTAGCTTTACTGAAAGATGACACCAAGTAATACTGCGCAAATACGAATTATTATATCAATTAAACCTGTAATGTGATGCCCAATATACTTTTATAGACATTTGCCAGACGTGGAGTTATCGAGGAGAAACCCAGGAGCTTTGGAGAAATTGTCTTCTATTTATGTTGGGTTTCAGCAGGCTGGCTATGGAACAAGGTGAATATTCATTGCTATGAAGCGCATGGACTCATGCTTGCATTGTATTTGCAGAACACATACGATAATACTGATTGACAAAGACTGGAATATGGAATTTACTGAAATTACTATGGCAGAACCGATCCAAATTGAAAATCCTACATGGAATACCACCGTTATAAAGTCAACTTTATAGATTACTAGTTATAAATATTACTATTTTTATATCTACAAAGCCAGCACAGGATTGTTTAAATAAAATTGACCGGATAAGTGTTCGTGGAGGAATTTTATTAAGATATCTATATCGAATTTTAACTATTTATTCAAGCTCAATTGTTAATGTAACCAAAAGTTTAATGTGTTATTACTTGTAACTTTTCTCCCCTTAATCTTCAGTATCTAGGTAATTTACGTAAATTATGTTCTATAGTTTCATATATATTTTTGTATGCACTTTTTGGCCTTCAGGGTAAATTTACGGCTTAAACTTGAAATGTTTACAATTTGACGAAGTTATTTAAGATAAGTGATACGAACATAACAGGATGTTATTTCAGTCAATGATGGAAGACTGTATAGAAATGTTGTTAAGTCAATAAATAATTTAACAATTGGGTTTTGTTAGCATCGCAATGAATTTTAAACAATCTTAGTATTGTGCGGGCTTTGAAGTCGAAGCTCGACAGTTTTACTAAAGGTATTTTTCAAAAAGTCCCCCTTAATCTGAACCAATAATTCATAATAATGTATCAGACCTTACTTATTTTTTAAATAAAGCAA